TATATTTTTAAGATATTAAAAGATTAAAAAATTTACAACTACAAACACAAGTAATATTGTCAAACTAAGTCTTAACTCTTAACAAACGACCATTCTAATCATATTAGAAGTTTATGTGATATTATTACGAATACATGTAAAACTTTTAATTTGACCGAAGTACCATGAAAATTGTATAGAAAATATTATGATGTATGATGTTAGGCAAACAAGAATTGAGATTGGATCACAAGGTCTGGCGATCTTTGAACCCCGTGACTCTCTTCATGGTACACAATACGAACCATGTTGCATGAGATATGATCTCGAAGAATCACGGTACACCTAAAGTTGCAAAGATGTTGATAGAGATTAGTCAATTACCATTGATAGCTCATCCTGGAGGATTCCTCCACTGCCTTTCTACGAAAACAGTTTTTCCTGTATGGATTGTAATAAATGGGCAGATGAAGTTGCTTAGAGTCCTGAATTGAAGTTCTTGCATGTTGCTTTTTAATGGGCATCTTTTCAGTCAGCCGATGAATAGAATCGAAGTAGTACTTTCTCGAATTTTCTATTTTCTGCTTCTTTCCATGAAGCATTTAAACACATGAACAGTGGTTTCGAGTTCAAACATACTACTCCTAATGCAAGTCTGGGCATGAAATGTTAAAAATACGCTCCATTAGTCAATTTCTTGCTCAGATTAGCATTTAACTTAGTTTAGACTGAAATTTCAGACTCTGTTTAACCCATGCCAATTTTTATTTTTATTATGTAAATTAACACTGAAAAGTGGAAAATGCGTATTTATTTCTCCCTTAACCTTAAACAACCTATTATTACTAAAGCGCATGCCTAAAAAACATTGCACCCTAAACATCTATGCAACCTCAAAGAGATTATAGCTTTTGGCATAGGTAAAACAAGTGATACAATACAAGCCAAAACTTATGCTAACCAATGCCGACAGGTAGCACGTCTCCGAATGAGTTCCAGGGTTCTGCTACAATGACGGTAGTTAATTAGATGAAACAGAGCCAGAATCACACTAAGCAGAAAACAAATTAACATCTGAAGTACATTAAAAAGGAAATTAAGTTAGTGCATTAACATTTCTCGCCCCACCACGGCTCAGTCGATCAAGTTCTGCTTAATAGTGATCATCCTCCTCGCATATGAGCACCGAGTTCACCAAATTGATCATCAGCTTCCACAGTATCCTCGGACAGGCGAACAGCATCAAGCTTTTGTTTGAGGACTTCTATGGCATTAAGTAACAACTGAGAAGCTTTAATTGCACCAGTAGATTCAACAGTGAAAATGAAACTGTCTTCTTTTGCGTGTATCTCAATAAGCCCAGGCTTACCCATGGCTTCTACTTTCTTTAACACTTCATCATCATAGGTATATGCTTCTGGATCGACCACTACAACCTGTTCATAAAAGAATTTTAAAAGGGGAAAATATCTACAGAAGACGGCTCATAATGTATTGACTGGAATAATGAATAAAGAAAGTACAGCATCAGATGCACAAGAAAGACCACAAATATGTTTTTATCGAAATAAAAGAAACTTAATGACAGTTTTGACAAACAACTTCAGTAAAACATATCCTTTTTCCATAGTCTACAACTGCTACAACTGCTACAACTGCTACAACTTTAATAATACATGTCATATTTCTGACCGCAGTAAATTAATTAGCCTAGAATTCTAAATAAAATATTTGAATATTTAACTTCATTATGTTCATTAATATCCTCTAGATATAAGGTTTAAATAAACATGCAAGCTATCATGAATATACATAAATACTTTATGCAATACCATGTTACCAGATACTACGCAGACAATTCTAGAACTGGCAAATTATGAGTTTTTTCTTTTCCCTTTTTAAGCAAAACAGATTATGATTTATGAATCAGCCAATATCAATGAGACACACCCACATCCAAACATGTATCTTTCTCAAATAGATCCATCCATCTATCAACATCCATAACCATATTCGCAGTCCACAACCTTTGTACTTAAACATCAGCTCCCTCCATAAAAGAGAGGGAGCAAGGAAGGAAGACACCTCGTCACTTCTTCCCAAGCTCTGTTATTAATTCCCTCCAACGAGGATCATTAACTAATCCATTTATAATCAATGTCTATTCGTGCTAAGTGGAAATTTCATGGAGTACAAACTGACTCTATAGATCTTCTACTTTAGAAATTGATCCCTAGGTCTTGAGAAGAGTACATAACCAAAAGTCTGCATTAATGACAGAGATGTAAATTTCTAAGATTATTAGGCCAGAGGAAAAATCACAGAACTAGGTAAAAATAAAGGACAAAGACTTCAGGAAGTTCAGCCAAATTCAGCTGATTCAAATTTGAATCATTGACTTCAATAATGCAGATTCATTTATTTATTTATTTTATTTTAACTAGGTCATTTTCCTAATTCTACTAGGGTTTTATGAGACCATACATATAAACCAGTGTAAGGCCAGTAGCCTCTGTAGTTTTCCATTAATAAGATTCAAGAATAACTCAGAATTTTCGCTAGTTTTCTGGTGGATTTCAGAGTCTAAATGTGTCTTAGGCTTGTTATCCTCCTTCCAAACTGCACCAACTCAAAACCTCAAAAGTAATTATCTCACAGTTTTAAAAAATCAAAAGGAACTAAATAAAGGATCCCAAAGCCAGGAACCACTCTCAACATCCACCCCTGCAAAACACCAGCTGCCCTGCCTATAGATTAGTTAATATAACGCAAGAAACAATGTTTTATAGCAACTCTAGAGATTTTGCAAGAAAGCATATACCAGATGAACCAAATAATCCAAAAAGATAATTGAGGGAGAAAAAGAAAAAGAAGAAGAAAAGCAGAAAGAGAAGAGCTGACCTGTTGGGTATTAGGATCAATGTCAAAGACTTTGGTAGGACTACTCTCAACTAAATTCATTTTCTCTTCAAGTGTAAGTGTTTCCATCATATCTTCATTTATATAGATCTCAGGTTCGTACATGAAGGTCACAGTTGCAGCAGGTGACCATTTTGCATGGTCTTTCCCAATGCCTTTTCTGGCTATTGCCCTCAGCCTCAATTCTTGTCCACGGCGTAACTTAACAATTATTATTCCCCTAAACAAACAGCAAATCAAAACTGAATTAACAGACTTTGCAATAAAACAATGGAAGTTAAATAAATTATTTCCTTTCTCTGATAAAATAATCATAAAAACTGAAAAGAATTTTTTTTTTTTTAAAAAAAAAAGAGACGATGGATTGAAATTTAGCACCATATTTCAATTTTCTAAGGCTTAGAGAATTATAAACCAAATACTTCTAGGAAAGAAAGTTCCCTGTTTCTTGCTTCTATCTAGTTTTTTAACTTAATTGAACATATCAATGGTAACAAAGCCAGACATTAATCCGCGTATTCTGCAGGATGGAGAGATATGAACCACAAGAAACCACTAAATCCCGAGCTCTTTTAACAAGTAACAGATACAGTTTAGTTCATATCATATTGGCAAATGCCTATATGTAAAAACACACAATTAAATAATGATTATAAAAGAACACAACACGCTGCTCCTCAAGAAGAAAAAGCATATAATCAATTATGATGAAGAGCACTGTCTCGAATTGTTGAACCATAGAAATGTTCCACAATAATCTAGCAAAAAATCCAATACCACTTTAATTCACAATGTTAACACAGAATCACAAAGAGGCAAAATACACTAAAATATTAAAATGTCATAGAAACATGCTGCAAGACAGGGGACAAGAATTACAGTAGTGTATAGAAGAGGCAAAAAATTTTCAAACATACAGAAGTTCAAACAATCCATACTACAGTGACAATTATAAGCTTTGAAAATTAATAAAAGCTAAAACTTGATTCAAGTATGAAGATCATAATCAGTTGTTTTGTGCTTTTCTTAATTAAAGTTGCTTGTTACACTGTCACCTAAAAGACCTCTCTAATAATCACTGAAAAAAACGACAAGACTAGCACAGGTCATACAAAATCTTAATCGACCCTTTAGGAAGCAATGCAAATACCTCTGCTCAGGCGAGTCGTACCCAGCCGACTCCGTGAAATCGACGGGAACCACAGTATGATCCGAACTATACAGATCCTTGCTCGTAACATCTAGCGTCTGATCAGTCATGCATTTGGCCCGCAGATGAAACTCAACAGAGCAGAACTCGCATTGGCCGTCACCGTCGCATGCGTCGCAATCACGCGAGAATCGCATGGACATGGCGCGTTCGCTGGTGAGCGGGATGAGACCGAGGCGATGAGCGATAAACTCGTCGTTGAGAACAGAGGAGTTGACCTCGATTTCGACCAGGTCGATGGCGATGGTCGGGACCTCCGCGATCATGACGCGGCGCAAGGCATTGGCCATGGAGGAGT